ATATATATATATATAAATTCATATGACTTGATTTCTATTAAATTCATACCTTTTTTATTTAGTTTAGTGATGAATTAATACTTTTATTGCTCTAACTGACTTCAATCCCATAGTGAAGTTCTCTCCTTAACACACAAAAAAATAATAGTCTACAAAAAAAAGAATGTATAAATTTTAAACTGATAAAATTACAAAATTCTTTTAAAATAATAATATCATATGTTTTATAAAAAATTCACAAGAACGAATAGTAATCCTTGTTTCATACAACAATATGCATATTTTGGACAAAGAGGAAAAATGGCATAAGAAAATAAAAACATAATATTATATTTAGTTACAATATGAAACATGGAAAAAAAAAAATTGAAACTTATCACGTTAGTAAAAAGAAATTGTAGAGATGAAGAGGAGAATATGATATATTGCAATAGAAAAAGTGACTAATGATTAGATATGTGGAAGAAGATGAAAGGATAAGAAGATGGAAGGGCATAGAGAAAAATCATGAAAAAATGATGTCATCAAATATTAAGGGATGGTATGCATTTACACACATTTAAACATTGACTCTTCATTTTCTTCATTTAAGAGTTTTTAAATATTTAAACATTTGATTTTTTTATATTAAGATAACATTACCTCATCTACCATATTTATTCGTCAATTATTTTTACCTAAGGACAGTAGATTGAAAGCTAATTATTAACCGAGTTTTTGGATTTAAGTTATGTAATTGGTAACTGTGAGCACAATAGATTCTGAGTCTTGTGCATTTGTGAGACCCGTTCACGAGTGCATGGCGTCTGTTTCGCTCCAGCCTTCTGGTTTTGGGGCGTGACAAATAGATATCATGCAATAACATTAATATAAATTACCTTTAATCTTCAATATGTAACTACATCTAAGCAATATTATTACTTACCTTTTTTGTGGAGTTCTAACACCAACTAAAACTCTAATAACATCTAGAGTTTTAATAAAAATATTTTCAATAAAAATGAGTCACCTATTCTTTTAATAAAATTAAATTAAGATAAAAAAGAAACCACAAAAGAATTTTTTCTTCTACTTCTTCTCAAGTGGACTCTCATAATTGGTGAGTTCAAATACAAATCTCAGGATAACTATAACTTCTTCATTAATTCAATTCTTTGACAATAGTATCAAGATGGTATTGTTATAATAGACAATATTATATGTGTCCTTATTTTTTTCCATAAATAAAATTTTCATATAATAAACATTTCTTTCAACCAATTTATCTTTAAGTTGCAAGGCATTAGAACTCCAAGTTACAACATAAATAAAATTTTTTTGCAAACAAAATAACTATTATTAATAGAAATCATTTAGTACCTAAAAGTCCAAATGTAATAATTCATAAAATTACCTTATCATTGACCAAAACCATTTTAGTAGTCAAATGGTCTCCATCATGTTTCAAACTAAAAACATCCTACAATCTTCATATTTGCACTTTAATCTTCCAATCTTCTTTGTGAGGTGAAAGTTAATCAAGAAATACATATTCCATATTTTTTGCAATTGATTTATCCTTAAATATTTTAGAAATTTTAGCAACAAAGTATTTCAAAATAAGAGAAACGATGTAACATAATTAGGGAAAAAAACAAATTAATAGTTAAAATCAAATACCTATTCATAGTGAGAAAGAGCAATCCAAGCAACTATCCTCTACAACTAAAATTTGAATTTAGAAAAATCTTTAAAACAAAATAACAATAAAAAAAAAAGGGTCTCACTTACCACAACTATGCAATAGCTTGCGAAAGAAATCTTCAGAAAAATAAATGTAGAGAATTTAAATAGTCGACCATTTACTCTTCATTTTCTTTTTGTTAGATAATATATTTTTTTTTGTTTTTGAATATTTAAATGGTTTTGCCTCTTCATCTACCAAGACAAATTAATTAACTTGTCTCTTCACTTATCTTATGGTTTTAAGTTTTTATTATATTTTATGTAAAATTTATGTGAATGCATATCCTATAACTAATACATAAAAAGTAGCATTTTATATAATTATATTTTTATATTTTATTA